CAGATGGTTGTGAGCCACCATGTGGTTGCTGGGAATTGAACTCAGGACCATCTCTCCAGCCTGGGGGTCCCAACTCTTACCTGCTGAAGGCACCCAGGAGCCTTCTCACCGAAACGACACCATATTGGGGGTGCTGTCTAGCATTGCAAGTGAGGAGAGGGGAATGATTAGAACCTGTTCTAGGCAAAACCCCAAAATTACAGCTGCAATGAAAATAAAGGACTCTGACCAGGTGACCCCAACACATATGTTGGAAGTCCCTGTCCCGGGTACCAGATGTTGCTGGGCATCTTCCACTGGGGAGGGGGTGAGGCACCGGGAGTCCAGCAAAAGGGATGTTGCAGACTCATTTAACAGGGAAAAGCTTATATACCCTCCCAGCACCCAGGCATTCCAATCTGTTGGCATCGCGTGATCGCCCCTTGTTGGCTAGGACCTATTAGGACCTCTGGCTGTGCCAGGAAGACGCCAGGTTGGCTCCTCTAGGCCTGGTAGACTTTAACTTCCTACAGTTAAATTCAATTTTGCCTAACCTCTGTTAACCTAACCTGCCTAATCCCTGACAGGCACACCCAGGGCAATTCTAGATCCAGTTGGCAGGATTAACCATCCTGAGGTACTATGTAAAGTGTGTGCACCACCGGCCACCTCTTCAGTGCAGGACTGTCCCATAGTGGACATGTTGCTGTTTCTAAAACTGCTGTGCCCTTTGTTTAGTCCTTAAAAAGGATCTATTCATTGTGCTCTCTGGGACAGTTTCTCAACCTGTGGGTCATGACCCTTTCAGGATCATCTATCAGATATCCCACATCGTATTTATATTTTGTTTCGTAAAAGTAGCAAAATTACAGTTATGAAGTAGCAACAAAATAAACGTATGGTTGGGGTTACCACAACATGAGCCTGTATCCACTGCTCTAGGGGAACCCTAAAATCACAAGGAACAGCTCAATTATTTCTCATCTGTGGAAGATTGGTTTGGCCCTTCAGCCCACGGGTAGCAAAATCTGTGGATTCTCAAGTCCTTTATATAAAATGACATAGAATTGTACAAAACTACACCATCCCCCATACTCTGCAAATCACCTCTGTATTATTAATACTCAATAAGATGAAATGCCATGTGATTATAATGTATAACTTAGAAAATAAAAAGTCAACAATCTTGGACTGACTATTCCTGCTCGACAGTGTAACAACCCGGGCTGTCCTGGAACTTGCTCTGTAGACCAGGCTGGCCTCCAACTCACAGAGCTCTGCCTGCCTCTGCCTCCCGAGAGCTGGGATTAAAGGCATGTCACCACACCCAGCAAAAAAATAAATTTGTATTGAACATATTGAAATTTGTGCTTTCAGCCTGGGGGTGTAACCCAGTGGTAGGACACTACTTCCCAAGCATGCTGGACTTGATCTCTAACAATACAGAACAAAGAAACTCTTCCCTCGGGCTTTTCTCCTTGTTTTCAGACAAAACCTTGCTATATCTATATAATGCAATCTATCCTCAAATTTAGGATAAGCCTTTTACCCCCCCCCCCCCCCGTGCTAGGATTAAAACAAGTTTCAAAACTCCCAGTTCAAGGAGACTTGTTATTAAAGCTATCGAATAAATGATAGCAGAAAGGAATCCAGGTTTTCTTGGCTGTTTGTTTTGTTTTTCCAGACAGGGTTTCTCTGTTTTATTCCCAGCTGTCCTGGAACTTGCTCTGTACGCCTCTTTAGGCTGCTCTTTTAAGTATTCTGAGTATACCAGACAAAGAAGAAATAGGAAGGGTTACAAGTACAGCCAAATTTAAACTTTTTAAGAATTCCCTCCAGAGTTGTGATTCTTGCTTGCTGAGTTCCAGCAACTTGGAAGCTGAGGTAGGAGGATCACCAGTTTAGAGCTGACCTGAGTAACAGATTCATTTGAAAAAATATTTGTATAATTTGATAAACAGCTAATTGACTTTTTACTCTTTAACCCCAAACCAAATCCACTCAAGAATCATGACATAAACATTAACCTCTGGAATGGGGGAGAGGGACTCACTTAGTAGAACGCTTGCCTAGCATGCTCAAGGCTCAAGTCCCAGCACCAAAAATAAGGTGGAGGAAAAAAAGCATCTGCCTCAAAATCCCCCTTTTGGGGATGCCAGGAAGCTCCAGTTCTAGACTAACTTTCCATTTCTGTCTAGCCAGAGGAATAAACATGCCTGTCTTCAAGAAATACCCAAGAGCCGGGCGATGGTGGCGCACGCCTTTAATCCCAGCACTCGGGAGGCAGAGGCAGGCGGATCTCTGTGAGTTCGAGACCAGCCTGATCTACAAAGCTAGTTCCAGGACAGGCTCCAAAGCCACAGAGAAACCCTGTCTCGAAAAAAAAAAAAAAAAAGAAATACCCAAGATTCAGACAGTAAACCATGCTCTGACCAGTCTTAACAGTCTGATGGTGTTAGCAGTGCCTTCAGCAGTTGAAGAAAGGGAAATACTCTTTCTTAACTTCTATATGGCTTTGAAAAGGTTCCCTGTAGCAAGAGAACCTGGTGTAGGAGGGTCATGTCTATGTGTTACTTTCACTGGTTAGTAAAGAAACTGCCTTGGCTTTTTGATAGGCCAGCCCTTAGGTGGGTCGAGTAGACAAAACAATTCTGGGATGAAGAAAGCAGTCAGGCAGATGTCATGGCTCTCCTCTCTGAGACAGATGCTGGTTAGACTCATGGCGGTAAGCCAGTCAAACGGCGATAGACATTAATGGAGATGGGTTAAATGAGTATGTAAGAGTTAGCCAGTAAGAGGTTAGAACTAATGGGCCAGGTAGTGTTTAAATGAATACAATTTGTGTGTTATTTCAGGGTATAAGCTAGCCAGGCGGCTGGGCGCCGGGAATGCAGCCTGCTGCTCCTCTCAACAACAGGAACCTCCTGCTCCCACCTCTCCAGGTGCTGGTATTCCAGGCGTGTACCACTAAGCAGAGCTTTGCATGGAGTCACAGAACTCCTGGCTGGCTACTTTTCACTCCCCAGCAGTAAGCAATTAGAGCAGCTTCCTCCTCCCTTGCTTGACCCCTCCTGTCCTCTGAGAACTGTTTATAGGCACTAAGCTTATGGCAGACAGAAACCTTTGGTTTAGTAATTAAAAAAAAAAAGCGCACCTTAGTTTTAGGTACTAGGAATAGAACCCTGTCTTATACATTTCAAGCAAGAGAACTACAATAAGCTACATGTACAGGACTAGTAGTATTTTGAGACAGAATCTCAAGTATCCCAGTAGCCTCAAACCTGTTATGTAGTCAGGACAACCCTGAGGTTACAAGTGTTTGCCACCATGACTGCTTTATTCCAAGCCAGAAACCAAATCCAGAGCTTTGTGCATGCAAGGTAAGCATTCTCTCCACTAAAAGTAATCTGTCTTTAGGAAGGGTAGTACATTCATCAAATAGCTAAGTATCAGTTTATATGGTTGTTACTGAAAGCTCTGAGGGCTGGCTCAATTTAGCTTTCAAGATGGCTTCTGGCATGGCAATGCCCTTCGTATTACCTACTTTGTTCACACTTTTAAAAAAAAGACTTATTATATATACAGGGTTCTAACTGCATGTATGCCTTTAAGTACCAGATTTCATTACAGATGGTTTTGAGTCACTACGTGGTTGCTGGGAATTGAACTCAAGACCTCTGGAAAAGCAGCCAGTGCTCTTAACCTCTGAGCCACCCCTCCAGCCCCCTGTTCACACTGCTGAGAATTGAACCCAGGGTCTCACATATGCTAGGCACCTACTACCCCATGCTGTTTCCCCAGCCTCTTCGCTTTCTTCACCTACCTCCTAACCAAGCACACTCATAACAAGTCTCCCAACAACCATGGGTACCCTTTTAACTCCTAGCACTTGCCATGCATGCATATAGCCCAGGCTGCTGTATGTGTGGTAAGATACCAGTTACTATTTAAAATACCACCCTTCAGAAGACCATCTGCTTTGGAATCCCCATTCTTGCTGTTGACTGCTTTGTAGTTTGTGTTTACCTTCCGATTACTCAAAAGTAGGTATTAGTGTACCAGTTTTACAAATAAAAAATTGAGACTCAGGAAACTGAATTCAGATCAAGACTCTAATCAGCTTTTAAGAGTCCTCATCAAGCCCACCGCCCAAAGCTAACCTCCTTTATCTGTACTGACCTCAGATATTTTCTTTCATCTGGGCGCACAGAAACAGCTAAGACTATAATGGAGTAGTGGATATTATGAGACATACATTCTATTCCCAGCTGTGACCTTTAGCTGCATAATGGAGAGTTAATTTGGAAGCAGCAGTTTTCTTCTCGTTTCAAAACTGGATACCTTTAGCCCAGTTTGTATGATTCTACATTCCTTTTTATAACAGTATCTTCTAGGCAAACTGACGTACGAGGAAGTTTTGTATTTATGTACAACCATGACCACACAAGAATGTCAGCACACTGCAGTGCTACGTGAGTTTGGCTTTGGTTCACAGGCCCGACTTGACCTTGTTTCTGTACTGGTCTTTCCTCATCTGCAACCCACTCTGATCTTTTTTTTTTTAATATTTATTTATTATGTATACAATATTCTGTCTGTGTGTCTGCCTACAGGTCAGAAGAGGACACCAGACCCCATTACAGATGGTTGGGAGCCACCATGTGGTTGCTGGGAATTGAACTCAGGACCTTTGAAGAGCAGGCAATGCGCTTAACCTCTGAGCCATCTCTCCAGCCCCCCCACTCTCATCTTTTTAGCATGTCCTAAGGTCAGTACCGAAAAGAACATGAAAATACTCAAAATCGCCGGGCGGTGGTGGCGCACGCCTTTAATCCCAGCACTCGGGAGGCAGAGGCAGGTGGATCTCTGTGAGTTTGAGACCAGCCTGGTCTACAAGAGCTAGTTCCAGGACAGGCTCCAAAGCCACAGAGAAACCCTGTCTCGAAAACAAAAACAAAACAAAAAAAAATACACAAAATCTCATTGTTTCTGGTGGCCGATAAAACGTCATCAAAGAAAAGTACTTCCATAAAAGTTTTATTTATCCCCACAACAACCCTGTGAGGTAGGGTGATCAGGGCATTTGAAGATGAGAAAACTAAATCTACATTACTTGTTCACGGCTATACTGCATAGTAAATAAGTAGAAATTAAATTGAGATTTTTAAATGTCCATAACTTCATATTGATTCATGTGGAAATAAGTAGAGAGAATATTAACTCCTCCCTACCTTAATGCCAAAAGGACACTACCTTGAAAAATCCCATTTCAAAAGATGAAAGTAGCATTTCATTGCTCATTTCTACAAAGATTTATAAAATAAAAAAATAGTGAAATATTTTAGTTACTATATATAATGGTCTCATTCAGGGACATGTCCTTCAGCTACGTAAATGATCAGCTATTCAGAGCTCTATAAATGCAAACTCTTTAAAAAGTATGAATGACAAAAAATAATAATGAGCAGTAGCCTCAATCTTCATTATTCCTCCTCGGATCTTGAATAAGTTCTGTGAAATCTGGTCCCAGGACTTAAAAAGAAAGAAAAGAAGAAAAAAAAGAAAAGAAAAAGGAAAAGAAAAACCTACCACAGAGAGATGACTGGTGAACTTTTGTAGCCTATTCTCAAACCACACTATTTAGAACAGAGACACACCAAAGTTGTCCATTTAAATCATTAGGAGAACCTTAAAAACGGAACTGTTCCCAGCCGTGCTCCTGACAGAATGAGAAGGCTTCCCAGGTGCAGGCTTCAGGTGTTTGCAGTTCAAAAAGCTCCTCAGAGTAATTCTGATGAACATGCTGGTTTGAGAATCACTATGTATCTTAAAACAATAGTATTAAACCATAAACTAGAATAAACTTGCTCTCATTTCCTTAATTCTTTTTTAAAAAGATCTCAAAACACGTTTGTTGACTAAACTGATTTACAATGAAATCTCAATTCAAGATAACAGAGAAACATTTTGAGAAAATGTATGTGACCTGGATTTCAATAATTTAAGTAGGATTTGAATATAAGGAACTGAGTTTTAACTCTGAAAACTTTTTAAGGTATTTCATACAAATTCCTAGCAGGTTCTCAACTCAAGGGAAGACATGAAAAGCAATGGTATAATCAAATACATTAGCACTGAAGAAAAAAAAATTCAAATACAGCCCATGAGAGGAATAAGAAAGTGAATGAACGACAACCTAAGGCCTATTTATTGGCCTTACATTTTTGTTCCCAGTCCACTTTTCCCCTATAAGGGGAAATAAAATAAACATTCTTTCCTAGTTCTTGGCATAGTTATTCGGTGGGTAACTATTCTAAGTTAATTTAGACATACAAGATTTAAAGAGGTAACAAATAAATACCTAGGAAGACAAAGAGGTCAGGTCACAAAACCTTAACTAGCTAGTGATGTAGTGTATAACACCATCATTCATATCAGTACAAGGAAACGAAGGCTTCAGTGTCCTTTATGTGACTGACACAGACATGGAAGAGATCCGATCCTTATGAAGAATCTGTGCTTGCTGTAAGACTTGTAGGAATAATGAAACACCTTCTTCACTGATGAGATGAAGTCTCTCTTACAGCCAAGTTGACAACAGAATAAGAATGAACTCCATTAGAAGGCTGAATGAAGCAAAAGCTAGCAGAAAGTCATTGGCAAAAGGTAACTTAAAAAACAAAAAAAACATTGTCAACCCTAAAAAAAATTACCCCCAGAAATATATATATGTATATATATAAAACAATGTACACATCCATATCACTGACAGTTACAAGAAAATAGCCATTTATAGAAGTCACACAATGCTTTCAACAAGTCCCAACACAATTTTGGGAAACAAATAAAGCCATTGGATAAATAAATATACATACTAGCAAATATAAAACAATTTCTGGTTACGAATTGTCATCGATTCTCTTTTAGGACCCAGACAAATGGTAGTAAATCTGGTCAGGACTACATATATTACATGGGATTAAAAAATACAACTAATTAAAACATCCTCTAACAATGATACAAATATTTAAAAGAATGTCTTAAAGTCAAACATTCAGAACTGGAAATAGCACAATTTTAATAGGTCCTTAAGAGTTGTAATGTGTACACAGGTAGCTTGCTATGCCTCATGGATCCACTGCCCCTACATTTACTACAGGCATGTTTGCTGTGTGCACTGACAGTTGGGTGCGTCTCAATTAAAAAAACGACACACCTCCGAGTAACTAAATGGAAGTGTTCTACAGCTACCAACAACGGAAAAATATGACTGGAAGATAATCTACTGAGAAGGGAAATAGCTGGCTAAATTATTTGTAATTTGTTTTAAACTTTGTATCAATAACTTTAGAATTACCCAAATAAAGTAATGGAAAAATAATGTCCATTTATTTGGTCATATAAACTTTCCCACAATGTGTTTTCTCTGTCATTCTTGAGTCATCTATCAGCTGACTTTAAAGGAACCCTCCTCACACGGGTCTGCTTTTATTATCAAAGTGCCCAGAGGCATAATGGTGTGTAAGTGTTTACATTTCCCCTTAAAGTTGTGGGAAGGGCTTTGTGACTGTATTCACTTAGTCAGGAAAGCTTTCAACAATTATGCATGTCAAAAAATTCAGATCTTGTGTAGGTTCGGGGTTTGCTAAAGAAGCATAAAAATGATGGGGGTCAGGAAGAAATTAACTAGGTTCACAATTTTGAGCAAGAGCATATGTAAAGGTAACGTATGTACATTTTATTTCAAGAAAGACATAAGACAAACAGCATAAAGATGCCCAGGTGCCCTAAAGATAAATACATTTAAAAGATTCTCATTAAAATGAATCTGTAGTATTGTTCCTGCAAGCAAAATACCTTTTTTTTAAATAAAAAAATCAGTATTCTGAATTGCAAATGCTTTTCCTTTTTTTTTTTGCAGAAAATCTGCCATGATTATTTTTTTTTAATGAATAAGGATTTTCCACAAAACAGGCTTGCTCTACATGCTAGATTTTTAAACAGTTCAGTGACACAATATGCTAACTACATACATAACAGATAATAATAATAAGAAAACACTCAACCTGATGAAAAGTTAAAATCTTCATTAATACACTGAAAACTGACAACTCATGCCTTTAAAATCAAAAATACAAAAATTAAATGTTTTCCTAAAAAGATTTCCTTATTTTAAGGATTCATTTGAAAATGAAGCTGCATGTAATTTGTACAAGAAGTTGTACAAGTAAACAGGTAATATACATAAAAAATTAACTGACATACTCCTCAATTATCAGTTGTCCACCTTTAATTTCCAATACTGTACTTTCTTAACAAGCATACAAAATATCAAACTTCTCTTTAGAAAAAGTGCCGTTCTTTGACATCCTTTACACAAAAACAGTCTGAGCCTGCGGCATGTCAATGCAGTTGAGAGGCAAAGCATACTAACTCTTACAAATTCTACCTTCCATAAAAAGCCCCTGAAAAGGAGATTACACGCCACTATAAAAATATCAACCTCTTGTGGTAGCTGCATTAGAGAACCAAGGCGTGACGACTATTCCCACACAGCACAGAAAACCGCTGTGAGCAGACTAACTGCACGGGTGGCTGGGAGTGTACTGAGCCACGGGTATGCATAGCTACTGTTAGGTGCCAAGCCTGTTACACAGAGTTTTAAACTGATTGTAACCGAGAGTGTAACAGAGGGACCACCAGCCCATGCAAAGCAAATACTGAGTCACTGTGCTGAATACTTCATTCCTGGAGAAAACCAAAGGCAGCAGTAACTGAATCAAGCCCGACAGGAGACTGAACTCATTCTCCTCAATGGTGTGCACAGTGAAGTCTGAGGTATAACTTTATCCATTCCATGTGTGCCATTACAAGATATTACCATCTGGAATACATGTCATCACAATGGTTCAAATCGCTTGAATATTAGTCATTCATATATTCTTACCTACCCAGTCTCTTGATTTTTGAAGATTTTACCTACAGTAGAATATTACAGAACAAAATATAAATGCATGTTTTTTAAAAATGAAACTTACATGGACTAAAAGAGAATATTTTTAAACAAATATACAATATGCAGGCAGACAAAGCAGGAAAACGGCCATTCAAATGTGTGTATATATATGTGTGTGTATATATATATGTATATATATATACATATATATATATACACCCAAAAACTAAAAATTGACTATTTCCAGAAAACTGAAGCGCCTCAACTAAAAGGAATGCATCATGAGAGTCTAATCTAATACAGGTCAGAAGTGTAAAAAGGTTATAAACCTGAACAGGAAAAATAAAACAACTTTTACTGGCCATTCCTGTTGAAATGAGAATAGTAAAGTAACAGAAAAGTGGCTACAAACCCACTGAGAGCACCAAACAGAGGGAAAATGAAAGTCCACTTTCACCTCTGTTATTATCATAAAATCCTGTGTACTACAGGTCAGACTGCTGGTGGCAGAAAACAGAATTCTTTATAAACTGCAGATGTCCTGTACATAGAAAGTTTCACTGGAGTTGTACTAGCTCTACAGACGCTTCTGTTTTGCCTACCCACTGTGTGTGTTCAATCTGAGATAGTCTCTTTCTGTAACCCTTGATTATTATTGGGCACCAAAGATAAGAAAAGCAAGACGGGGTACAAAAATGCAAAATTTCAACAGTAATGGCAATGTTTTTGTCTTAGTCCAAAGGGTCCTGCATTCTCTCTCCCCCCTCAGTGATCTGACAAGTCTCTGAACTTAATCTGGGGGCAGCAAATCATGCAAGCGAAATCTGTCTCTGATGTGAGGCCGGACATCTTCATTCTGTGTGGAGAAAAGATTATTTTTGAAAAGCCACATATTTCTAAGGTATGGTCCTATATAACACTCTTTACAGAGGAAGTGGACTACTTCTTTACTTAATGACACATTATTTTGCTTGACAAATACAGTCAGTTTCTATAACCAATCTATAGCTTCACATCTGTACTGGCAGACTTTTCTTTGTCATTAATCTTTAAACAATACAGTGCAAACTATTTAACTTAGCATTTACATCATACTAGATATTACTAAGAACTCTGAAGATAATTTTAAGGATTTGGGAGGTATGTGAAGGTTGTAAACAAACACCAAACACAACTCTCTAAGGGACTTGAACACATGTGGATATTGTTATTATGGGGGATCCTGGATTCAATCTAGAAGGGTTATGGAGGGGTGACTGTATTAGACTACAGCATAAAATAAGTTCAAAATTACATTTAGACTTAAGCTTTTTCCTTTCTTGTCATTTTGTTAAAAAACATTAAGCTAAACCAATAAATAAGTAAAAGGTTTATACCACTAAATTCTACTTTCTACAATTGATTAACTCATAAATAAGAAAATAATTACTAGAAGAAAGGTTGAGTGACAAAGCATTACTACTAAATGTGAATTATGACGGTAAAATGCATCATTTCAGAACACATGTAAACAAAAGAGGAAACTATAAAAAGTAAAGTCAAGCACTCAGTATATAAACCTTTAAAAACTGGTAGGCCTTATTTTTTAATAATTTCTAACAGAATTCAAAACTGTTCATGGAAAACAATGGTGGGCAGTAAGGACCAGGGTTTAGAACCTGAAATGAGGCTACAGATCACTAAATTTGTTCTAAGCCCTCTATCTTTGCCCAGGGGAGGAATATTATTTATTCTTTGAGCATCCCGGCCTCCAGCCCAGGATTTCTCTTATAAAGCCCAAGGAGAAGGGAACCTTTTCTGAGTCCTTGTTCTCTCCAGTGCTTCTGGCTTCTCTGTTAATTTTCCTGACGAATCACTGAGAAGGAAAGCCTTGCTGTAGACATTGTGATTTGCTGGGCATAGTAGCACTCAAGAGGCAGGCGATCTCTAAAACCTGGAGGCCGGCCTGATACACATAGTAAGTTCCAGGCCAGTCAAGTCTCTGGGACCCTGTCTCAAAGAACAAAAAAACCACCTTGACCTATTTCTTTGGTCCATTTTACTGGCCACTGATAAAGCTTCCCTTGAAGACCAGCTGCATCATGGAAGGCTTTGCATCCTGCCTGAGGCAGAATCCTGGCAGTTCCAGCTGATCACAAATCTCCGCCTCCCATCAGAACTACCAGTAAGGATCCCAAATCATTTGCTCACCAGAACTACTCTCCCAGGCAATCTTTTTGTCTCACCACCACACACATGGCTGAACTCTTCCATGTCAGGGAAATTCTGAGCTGTTTTTAGCTCTCACACTCCTGCTTACTCCTAACTCCAAGCAAAAGCTAGGGGAAGTTTGTAAAAGGTTAGACTCCCTGAGGCTAACTGATCACAGTGTGTCTGCGTATCACAGTGCAAGGCCAAGCTCACTCTCGTGTTGCCAACAAGAGCCCCGCAAGTCCTCCTACTTTCTGCTTATTTTTGTACATTTCATAACAGAGGACTGTGAGTACTGAAAACTTTATCTTTTCAATATGCAAACAGAAACAAACTGTAGAGATTTTTTTTTTAAGACAAGAGTTCCATTTAGTCCCAGACTGACCTCAAGCTTACCATTCAAGAATCACCTTTAATTCCTGATCCTCCTGCCTCTGTGATCCCTAGTGCTGGGATCAACTGATCATTCATATGTACCACAACACTCAGAAAACTTTTGTTTCAATAGAAGAATGAGCCTAGTCAATTTCTACTGCATATTAAGTTTTATTAAAAAAAAAACCTATTAGTTTTTTTCAACTTTTGCCACAATCTTCTTTTTTTATTTTTTTTAAGATTTGTTTATTTATTATGTATACAATGTTCTGCCTGCACGAGTCCATGCAGGCCAGAAGTTGGCACCAGATTTTATTACAGGTGGTTGTGGGCCACTATGTGGTTGCTGGGAATTGAACTCAGGACCTCTGGAAGAACAATCAGTGCTCTTAACCACTGAGCCAGCTCTCCAGCCCCCCATCTTCTTCTTCTTTTCTTTAAAAAAAGATTTATTTATTTATTATGTATTCAGTGTTCTGCCTGCATATATCCCTGCAGGCCAGAAGAGGGCACCAAATCTCATTACAGATGGTTGTGAGCACACGTGGTTGCTGGGAATTGAACTCAGGACACCTTTTGGAAGAGCAGGCAAAGCTCTTAACCACTGAGCCATCTCTCCAGCCCCTTGCCACAATCTTCTACCAGTTAACTTTATTGTTTGTTGCTGTTATTTTTTAGGGAGGATTTCTCTATATATGTAACCTAGACTGCCCCCAATCTGATGATTCTCCCTCTTTAGTCTTCCAAGTTGGTACACAGTTAACTTTAAAAGCCAATACACACAGAGAGATTTGTTCAATATAGTTCAACTAACAACAACAGCAGCAGCAGCAATAAAAATCAAATAGATGACATACTTACCATTTCTACAAGCTTCTCCAGAAATGGAATCAATTTTAGGAGTTCATTGTCATTTTTATCCATAAACCAGCTTTCTATAGGAATTCCATTAGAAAGCTAAAACAATAAATATGTAATTAAGTTCTCTTTAACTACATTAGCCTGCTTTGAAAAACTTAAAAAACAGAGTTGAATAACTATGGACATAAAAGTTTCTCTGGAAAAAAATATTAGATTTCAGTGGCAGCTCAATGCAAGAGAGTTTGACTGACTGTTCAGTGTTCCTGACTTCCTCGGTGAGTGCAAAAGGGAAATAATAAAGAGCTCACTAGGCTATTCTACAATATTCATTCTAGAAAGTCACCAGCACAACGCTAGTCATTGTGGAGTAAAGAGAAACTACCAACCTAAACACTCTCAGACAGCATATGTAAGTACTTTTCCACAAGGACCGTGCCCTTCCTATTCATTGGTTTTTTTTCTTTCTTCCTTCCTTTCTTTCCTTTTTTGGTCTCTCCTTTTCTTTTTTTTTTTTTTTAATTTTTTTTTTAGTATTTATTTATTATTCATACAGTATTCTGTCTGTGTATATGCCTGCAGGCCAGCAGAGGGCACCAGACCTCATTACGGATGGTTGTGAGCCACCATGTGGTTGCTGGGAATTGAACTCAGGACCTTTGGAAGAGCAGTCAGTGCTCTTAACCTCTGAGCCATCTCTCCAGCCCTCTCCTTTTCTTTTTGAAACACTCTATAGTCACTGTTCTATTCTTTTAAGAAGGGGTCTTGAGCTGGGTGGTGGTGACACATGCTTTTAATTCCAGTACTTGGGAAGCAGAGGCAGGCGGATCTCAGTTAGCTTGAGGCCAGCTTGGTCAACGAGTGAGTTTCAGGACAGGATCTAAAGATACAGAGAAACACTGTCTTGAAAAACCCACCCCCCCCCCCCCAAAAAAAAGAAGAGAGAGAAGGGGTCTTGAACTGGGCGATGGTAGCATACACCTTTAATCCCAGCACTTGGGAGGCAGAGGCAGGTGGAATTCTCTAAATTTGAAGCCAGCTTGCTCTACAGAGCAAGTTCCAGGACAGTCAGGGCTATTACACTGACAAATCCTGTCACTCTGAGGCTCAGGCAGGCCTTTAACACCTGTGCTTAAGCAATCAATACTCCCACCCCAGACTAACCATTTTCCTGCTATCAACACATGAGTACAAGTAAAAGTACAAATACAAGGTAGGAAAAGCACTGATTTTAACAAAGTAAACTCTGGGGCAGGGATAGGGCTTTTAATTCCACCATTTGGGAGGTAAAAGAATGCTGAGTTCAATGTTGGCATGGGCTACATATACATATGTTGAGAGAGAGAGAGAAAAAGAGAGAGAGAGAGACAGAGAGACTGACTTAAAAGATAAAACAAAATGTCTTCCAATAATTCAAGTGGTAAAACAGAGCTATAGAAATAAACAGGCCGGGTGGTGGTGATGCACACCTTTAATCCCAGCACTTGGGAGGCAGAGGCAGGCGGATCTCTGTGAGTTCGAATCCAGCCTGGTCTACAAGAGCTAGTTCCAGGACAGGCTCCAAAACCACAGAGAAACCCTGTCTTGAAAAACCAAAAGGTAATATTAGCAAAATACACAAAAATCTAGCCAAAACACTTCAAATTATTTAAGTCAATAGACTAGAATATTGCTAATTTTAGTTTTCAAACATGTTTATAATTTCAAAAAAATATCAAGGGGCAGGTGGTGGTGGCCTGATCTACAAGACTACAAGAGCTAGTTCCAGAAGCTATGGCTGTCACACAGGGAAAACCTACCCTGAACAAACAAACAAACAAACAAATAGAAATGCTACTAAATGGTGTCCTGACCCCTCATTTTATCTGCAGATTTACTACTTAGATTTCTCTTAATTTATGTTGTACTTCATGTAGAAAACAAATTTCCACAAGTACTTATCCATTTGACCTTTCTAATCCTAAAAGATTACATAGTAAACAAAAATTACTGTTTTCTATCATAATTTCTTGGCAGCAATTGTCTTCTTTGTAATTTTTCCAATTGGGTTTCTTTAGGAATCTTCTCCCTACCTGATAGGCAAAGGCTTGTGGTGAGTTGTCAATTATTATAGTTTTGGAAAGATCTCTTCCAAGGATATTTAAGTCCTTTATATAGTTTCCTTGTACACAAACACAATGTTCTCGGAAAAGCCGATGCCTAAACAAAAATAAAAACAGATTTTAAAATATGCACTGAGATTCATATGCCACAAGATTTCTACATATTCTTTCTCTCAGGAAGCAAATTCAACTACAAACATTGGCCTAAGTTGTAGTATAGTTTCAATACAAAAATTCTTAGCAATTATTGAGACCTTTAAAAAAAAACACCAAATATTACAATGGTTTAAACAACTCTGGTTTATACTATGTCATAAAATAAAAAGGAAATTAAAACTTTGAAGTTGTTTTTGTAATTTAATTACCCAAGAAAGCTCAGCTCAGATGCAGCATTTGGTTGTCATCGAGGTCCTGCTTTTTAACCAATTTTCCAGATGGTTGACTGAGGCACAAGTGACTTGCCCAAGGTCACAGTAAGTCTGTGGTTAGTTGGAAACCAGGATCCTCCTGGCTCCCAGTCCTTTGCTCTAACCAGTAGACCACACAGCCTCCCTATCCCTGTACATGCCAGAATAGAAAATATAAGAAGGTGTGTTTTTGTATTGGGGTTAAAATAATTTTTTTTTTTTTAGTTTTCCTAATAGTTTTTTGAGAAAAGATGCTGAGGCCAAAACATTCCATCATTTCAACTTTCCCCAAACACTCTTATTTCTCTCTCTCTCTCTGTGCATGTGTGTGTGTGTGTGTGTGTGTGTGTAATACTGATTCAAAAAACAGGGACTGAAAAAAAAATCAAATGTAAACTAATAATCTTACAAACTAAATAGAAAATTCTGCCATTTTAAAAGCTATTAAAAGATGTGTAATTCTTATATACTATAGTAATTATGCAATCTAAATTTATAATCAGGATACTATTCTCTAAATATTACTAATAACTGAAACAGGTTTTTCAGCTTGAAAAACGTTTGTACTATATGCCTTAACAACTGAGTTTGTCTTGCTGCTTAACCCTTAACAAATGTTCATGAGCAATATACTATTCATGCCTGTACTTTTTGTTTTATAATTTCAAGAAAGGAGTATATTTTCAGCTGGGCATAGTGGTGGTGCATATACAGATGCAACTGCATCTCTGTGAGCTCCAGGGCAGCCAGGGCTACACAGAGCAACCCTGTCTTGGAAGAAAAAAAAAAAAAGAAAAAGAAGAAAGCATTTTCTACCCATACACCCTGTCCCAGTTCAATACCAACATTTAAAAAGCACACACAAACTCATCTTAAAAAACCAGTGCTAGTGGCAATGACGATTAGGGAGCTTTAGTTATCCAGCTACTAAGAGACAATTCTCTAAAGCACTTCAAAAAATTCCAATCAGTCACATTTTTTTCCTCTTTAAAAATCCAATATGGTAGAACAAATGAGCATTTCCAAGCGTGTAGATTTTACAATACAATGTAACAGCATGGCTCCTCCCCAGGAAATGAAACTGCACAACAGCCAGGACCATGCTGCTTACAACTGTTGCTACAATACTAAAGCTACTGAAAAGGAATCTTTTAACATGAATAGTCATCAAAGCAAAATCTAAATTTATATACTTTTATTAAAGTTAGGTACAGTGAGCATATTATTACAGTATACATTTGTGAATAGGAAATACCATATCTTATCTTTGTAACTTATTTGATCCTTTCAATTAAAAATTAAAGATCACAGTTTAATTGTAACCATTCAATAAAAGTTCTTTTGAGTTTGTTGAGACAGCATCTCACTGTATAGCTGGCATGAAACGCAGAGATCTGCCTATCTCTATTTCACAAGCTCTGGGGTTAAAGTCTTATGCCACAACACATGGGAATAAAGTATCATCAATAGTAAACTAGGTTTAAGATTTATAACTAAAGTATGGGAGATAATGCTCAACACAATATCCAGCTAAATAGCTGCTATGAGCTTCTTACATCCTTTCTCTCTTTTTTTTTATCACTAAGTCAGACGTACTCCTGCGCCTCAGACGATGGAGCAAGTGTACTACAGTCTTGACTAAAGTGTCTTCAGCTGACAGAAATAAAGGACTGATTTTCAAAATCGCCCAAGGCAGCCCTGCTACCCAGAAACACACTTCATTTGCTCGTTAATGACAAACACAAGGAACAGAGTCCAGTTCAGGATAAACTGCATGATCAATCCAGTTTTAATTTCCAGATAGATGCATGTAACATTTTCTCAGGAGAGAGGGAGGCAAATCTAGTCTTAAAGCATCCTTTCTACTATATTTCTAAATGCCATTACAAAGGCAATATAACAAACATTATCTCAAAGACACGAAAGTAAAACAAGCTCATAGTGAAAATATCCACCACCACCCGCCTCACCCAAATTCCCAAAGAAATGAAGATATAGATGTAATAGGAAATATATCTGACTTTGGGACCCTTTAAGGAATGTCTGTCTGAAGCCACATAATTAGAAACTCTTAAAGAGTTGTTTGTGAGACTTAAAAGACTCATTTACTATTCAACACAATAATCTCTAGATATCAGCCAACTGAAAATGGCCATTAAAATTAAATAAAGTCAAGGTAATTGCATGGATGAGTGTGACAGACATTTCTATGATTTCTTAATTAAATTTACCTGACCAGTTGCTTTTTAGGGTCTAGTATGTTCAGTAACTTGTCTGCATACACCTTCTTAGAAGCAGTAAAAAGAATGATCTACAAATTCAGGGAAAAGAAGTAATCATTATACATGATCTAAATATGGGTACTATATTGAATAAAAAATACATAAGTAATTTAGTTTAAGCACATTTACCTCATACATCTGAGACATTCGTTCAAGGAATTCCCTGAAGAATGGTCTTAATCTCACATAAACCTGAAGAAATGCAAAGATAGTTTTCAGCAAATAAACATAATATAAAAGTTCCTATTTTAAAGTAACAGAAATATTTACTAAGTATCACTCAAACCAAACATATTCCATGTACCAGAAGCACTTAAGATGACTTTTAGAGACAGTAATCATTGTTTCATTTTTAATAGCAAATACAACTGCATTTCACTGGAATGTAATTTCAAAAAGCATTTCAACTAAAAATAGATTTCCCTCATTATAGATTGTGATCCACCAATCAGTTCCATCTTCCAAGCAGGTAGCATCCATCCAATTATGCTGCAGGCTGTGAGTCCAGCTCTAAGCTGACCTGTATCAATGGACCTTCAATTACTCAGAATGTCTTCTAAAAAAGTACCTGTTAAAAATACCTATTGAATTTTTATATTAAGACAATAGTCAAGAAGGTGGTATCTGGATTGGCGAGTTTCAATAACCCCCCCCCCTTTTCTAAAGAAATCAAACTTATCCTTCACATTTAATGTTTCAGACATAACAACCAAGTTTGTAAGTATACAAAGTCAGTAGTTCTCAAAGTTTACTTCTCAAGATTTTACTTACACACATATATAAAAATTATATATGTACTGAGTTGGGTTGAGACGGTTTCTGTGTCGTTCTGGCTGTCCTGGAACTCACTTTGTAGACGAGGCTGGCTTTGAACTCAGAAATCCACCTGCCTCTGTCTCGGGAGTGCTGGGATTAAAAAAAGCGTGCAACACCCAGCTATATATTCTTATCTCTAAGTTCAGCTTCTTTCCTAGTGTTACTGCTCTTTTAATATGCTGCGACAATCAGAAAAAACACACAAATATAAGCCACAAATAACCACTGAAGCCACTTACAAAGACCGTCTACTCCTCTTCTTATGTTCACTCAGTGACTAAAGTTTAGAAAAGTTTTGTACTCCATCCACTGAAAGATGACTACTGATATCATATATCATAAATAAACTGAGTTAAACAGATTGTGACTTTGTAACAAGCCTGTGGTGACAACACCTCTAATGCACGCTTAGTGCCATCTACATAAAAATGTTCCTGTGACAAAAAGGCCAGGTCTGGGAATGTTTTATAGTAAAACTGGGAAAGCATGCAACAAAAGAAGACAAAAGTAACATTTTTCCAGTGACTTCCAGATTAGACTAAACCTGTAATAGCATTATGCACACTACTGCTATTTCTATGTCTAAATTTAACACACAACCTATAATTTGACATGCTTTCAAAATGAAAGGTAGCACTAAGGACAGAAGAGTCCATTGCTAGTGCTTCCATCCTGAGAACACAAGGGTTAAGAAGAGCTGTCTGTTAAGGTGTCTATCTGCAGAACAGATTCACTGTTTAATCAGAAAAGTATCACAAAAAGATTCAAAGACACAGATAACACAGTAGCTAAGGGTGAAAAAAAAATAGTGGTCAGGTCTGGAATAAGACTAGAGAGCTGTGCCTTGTGATACAAATGCACACAACCATAAAGAAAAATAGTAGAGATGAAGTACATGCCCAACAGGGTTTAAGACTCAGAAATCTATTAAACATGAATAGGAATATATATGAATCAGCAAGTCCTAAGTTTTGTTCTAGAAGAAAGAATTAAGGCATGTATAATATGGTCTTTCTTTGTTCACTAGGTCTATCTACTGGGGGAAAGGTGTGCTGTGGTGTACACGACATCGGTCAGAGGATAACTTTTTGAAAATCCATTTTCTTCTTTCCCCATGTCGGGCCCAGGAACCAAACTCAAGTGGCAAGTCTTTTCCTATTGAGCCATCTCATTGGCTCCAAAAATTTAGCTCCTGACACTAACATTATTTAATTGTATTAGATCACAAAGACAGACACAGCCATGCCTCTAAATCCTTCCAAACTTAAGCTCACAAGTAACAATTAGCTCCATTTTCCTTCTCCAAACTTCAGCCTCATACAGGATTCTATTCTGAAGCACCCACCCATCATTTCCTACCAACTATCCTCCTAAATAAAAACTCACAACTTTTTGTTTTGTTTTGTTGAGACAGGGTCTTAGTCTGCAGCCCAGACTAGTCTGGAACTTCCTATGTAGCCAGGATGACCTGGGTACTGTGGTGATCCTTCCTGCCCAGCCTTCCCAACACTGGCATTCCAGGCGTTTGTAGCCATGCCTAACCAAACGCAACTCTTAATTGTGTAAACTCTTAAAGACTAAAAGACTGATTTCACTCTAGCTAAAATGTTCTTCTAGACCTACAGCAATGCTATTTAGGTTAAGTCTGTTTTCAATAAACTAAATATATTTTGGAAAATAAGTTAAATTTAAAAATAATGCTTAATGATAGCAATAAATTATTACTATCTGGCAAGACTGACAATCACTCAAAAGTGGGTATTTGTGAATAAGTACATTTTGCCAAATTTTTAAAAATCAGAAACATTACAATTTGTTGGGTGGTAGTGGTGCAAGCCTTTAATCCCAGCACTTGGGAGGCAGAGGCAGACAGATCTCTGAATGTGAGGCCAGCCTAGTCTAGTGTAAGTTATAAGACCCAGTTTCAAAAAACAAAACGAAACAAAAAAATTAGAATCTATGGAGAACTGGCTTTACTAAAATTTAAATTTATAAAGAAAAATTATATATATACGTATATAAATACATACATATATATACAGACACACATATATACAATAAGAACCCAGTACACTACATTAACAATATAATAACACTACTTGACAATGAATAATAGTTTATTTTCTGTGTCCTCTTTGGTGGCCTGTCAATGAAAATTGATGTTCATGGTACTAACAAAACACAATAGAACCATAATTACATAGAAGACTACTTATAAATTGATTATAAACACTGAATTTAAGTCTGGTCAAACACAAATTTAACTTATTTCTATTAATTTATCAAAATTTCATGTTATTTTAACAATAAGACAGAGAAACAAAGCAAAATCTTACCTACAGCAATTTCAAATTGTGAGAAAATTACTAGTCAACTTTTTTAGGAGAAATATTTTACATGATTTCTAAGCCTAGATTAACATTAAAAACAAGGGTTTTTTGTGTTTTATTTTTCATATGATGGTGGCATACACCTTTAATCCCAGCACTCAAGAGGCAGAAGCAAAGCAATCTCTCTGAGTTTGAGGCCAGCCTACACTTGGTCTACAGAGTAAGTTTCAGGGCACTTAGCCGTTATTCAGAGAAACCCAGTCTTGAAAAAAAATCTTTGATATATCCTTTGAACTTATTGATATACATGTCTATAATTTAAAAAAATAGTAAGTTTATAGGGTAGAAGTATAGATCAAGGTTTACATGTATGCTTGGCTTAGTAAGGCGGGCCCTGGGTTAGCATTGAAAGAAACATATAGTCAGTAACTCATTAGAGATATATGCTTTTGACCCCACTACTTCAGAGGCTGAAGAAGGATTTCATTGAGTTTAATACCAGTCTGAGCAACAATAAATAATAAATAAATAAACAAATGCAAGTATATACCATAGAGAAAATACACTAGGTATTCCTTTAAACAAAAAGATAACCTGTGAGCACTAATGATTTAATAAGCAGAGACGAGTGCAAGTAATGTCAATACATGTGATCTTAGCACTTGGGTAACTGAAAGCAGAAAACAAATGATGCTGGAGTTTTTGAAGAATTAACTAAATGTTAAATTATTGGGGGGCAGAAGATCTTATAATGAATAGACATACTGGTATACAAAGCGGCTCTGCCAATTTCCAACCTTTTGGCACAACTTCATTTCTTCATCTATAAAATGGATCCCAATGTTATAAAGGGTAAACAATACAGGTAAGCATTTGGTATCGTACCCAGTGAATGTAAGGTGACAAAAACTGGTAAACACTATTACCTAGTTCTTTATTTAAAAGTCACCAGTCCCCCGTATTATGGGGTAGAACTGAGCAACCACAATCCTAAACAGAAAGCCTTACAGCTACCAACTAGTCTCTTAAAAGAAAAGCATTACTGACTCCACCAATACTTTCTTAGCATTAGCATGAAAACACAGAAAGGCTGCTCAAGTAAGAACCATGGAGGCCCCCACTTTATAACCTATAGGTTAATTAAGTAATCATTTGCCTCAACTAGTTCCAGTAAGAGGTGGGGAATCAATCTGGGGATGATCAGGGAAGGACTCAAACACCAGAACCAGAATTTTCCTTAACTATGAAATAGAATTCAATCTGAAAAGGGGCTTAGAGTCCAAACAGGATAAACTGAAGTTTAATGTATTCATGTACATTATTAAGTATTCAATGAAGAATAATGTTTATGATGGGAAAAAATAGCAATATATTTACACATAAATTTAAGTATATAAGTACTTTAAATGACACCTATTAAGAGAAACTATAATTACTTCAAGGGCAAAAAGAAAGTAGCCATTTAAGTAGCAAAATGTTGTCTTTAAAAACCATTTTAGCATAAGCCAACATGGTGGCCCACGCCTTTGCAAAGCAGGCAGATTTTTGTGCTATTAAGGCCATATGGTCTAGAGTGAGTTCCAGGCCAGTCAGCGCCTCAAAGTAAGACTTTGTCTGTAGTAGTAGTAATAACAACAACAATAAAAAAATCATTCTAGTGAGCAATCAACAACAATAAAAAAATCATTCTAGTGAGCAATCAGGAAGTTGAAAGATTGTGAGTTCTAGGCCCGCCTGGGCTATACATACTGAGACCATATCTCAAAAATAAAATTAAATAAAAACCACTCTCAAACATCATTTTAAAGATAATGAACCCTCCAATTTAGTTCACGCTGTAATCAACTCTCATCTCTTCTATATTTAAAATACTTTCAGCTGTTAAATAAGAACTTTCATGTGTAAAGTCCATCTACCCCTCCCCATATATAGCCCAAGCAAGCCTCAAACTCTTCTAAGCTGTGATGACATACATGCATCACCTCTCTGGCTGTATAATCTGCTTTTCTAAGTGATTTATTCCTAATTTGAGATACTTTAACAATTCCCATGAAATATATTTTCTAATTTTTGATAAAAAACTGTAAGTTTAATTTATATAATTTCTAATCTAAAAATCAATAATTATAACAAAAACATAGTGCCTATGCTTACGTACTAAGAAAGATGGGAAAGTTACTTTACAATTATTCTAAAGTATTATTTTTCAGGTAAGTTATTATCCAAATACTCTTCTCTCCTATCTAAAAGTGACATCAATACTAAATATTCTTAACCCCAAATACTATATACAAGGCATAATTATATACAAACATACATGTTTATGTACAACAAAAGAAAGTTTATAAAACTCAGCAACAAAATGCCTCTTTAATTATAAAGTCAGAATTTGCAAAAGAAAATATAATCAGGTATTGACAACAGAATTTTTCACTTAAATATATTTTTCTTCATGAAGTGAAAATCAAGCTGGTTTTCTAGGAAGAGCTAAAAGCCATTGACACTTCTAACTCTTTCTGTGATATGGAAAATGTCCTGAGCTCTATGATTTTCAAGAAAGAAAAGTAGGAAGAGGCTGTTTTGCTAACCAGCTCTCCACTGGCCTTTCTTCCCCACCACTCTCTCCATAAAAGCAACCTCAAACCAATGAAAGAAAGCATCTTTTACAAGTAGCTCCCTACAGCATCCTAGCTCCTTGAGTGCTTACCATAGTCTGATTTCTGGACAGCTGACCCAAAGTTTGTTGATTTTACTGATCCTCAGAAAGCCACTGACTGGCTAAAGTCTTAATGGTGAATACAGTCAAAGAATCAGATGCCCCTGCCTTACTGTACAGAATGAGGAGATGGACAACACAGTTGCGTTTGAGGCACTGTGGTCAGACATATGAGGTATCTTCTTTGTCTTCAATCAGCCATATTTGGGCTGAGTAGCTCTATTACATCTTCAAAAAACTGAGCTCCAGTTCTTGATGGAGACAGAGGAAGGTCATTGAGGAGGTGTTTCGGCTCAAGAGCTAAGTGAAAAATGTCTTTTGATTCAGTTCTGCTTGTGGATAGCAGTCATCTTCTGGATGGAAGAGGGAGTGAGATGACCTAGAGTCTTGAATTGGTGGATCTGCAGGAACAGAAACTAAATACAGTGGAGACCTCTTAACTGAGTAACACCACGAGATGGATTTCCTGACAATGTGTCATATTAAACTGACTACAAGTTTAAACGTGCAGTGGGAGTGATCATGCACCTCTTTCCAAATGAAATGCATCTGTACCATTTTATGAATATATCCTTCCTTAATCACTATGGCGACAATTCTTAAGAAGATGTGTATTAAAAAGTACAGCAATTCAATCTGTACTTTTTGTGAGTCTAATACCCTCAATTTCAAGTCCATTCTTTCATATTTTCCATATACACAAACAAGTCTGCCCACTATATCTAGGATCAGGAGTAATGTGTTAACTTTGAGATGAATCTTTTGTTTTCCCCCCCTAAGAAATGGAATTTAGGTAAATACTAAATTCAGACTTGAATGATTTATCTGCCTGAAAATTCTAAAGGCTGGTAGTATCTGAATTTATTCCTATTTACCAAAATAAGGAGAGTATATGTCATAAAGTATAGCAATCTTAGTAGTTACCAGAAACTTCCCTCAATCTTAAAAAAGCCTATTACCAGATCACCATGAATTTAAATTTTCTATATAAAAGTAAGAATTCTGATTAATATTTGGTTACTCACTTCTACTCAAATTTAAGTATATGCTCCCAAAATTATTAGGACAGCTAATTAAGGACTGTTAGCAAAATACAACCTACTACTTACTTTTTAAAATATTTTGTTCTACCGGAAGACAACCATATTTTTGGCTATTTTTTGAGACAGGGTCACATTATGGCGAGGAACTATATATATAGCCCAGGCTGGTCTCAAATCAATGATCTTCCTCCTGCCACAGCCTCCCCTGTACTGGAATTATAGAGTGCGGGATTATGGGTGTATGCCACCACTTCTGGCCAACTCTTTTTGATAGATGGTTCTTTCATGTTGGAAAAGCAGAAAAAGTGCTTGCAGCAAGAGCTGTAAAACCTAAAACTCCTGATTTAGATTTTGTTTTGTTTTTCAAGACAGAGTTTCTTTGTGTAGCCCTGGCTGTCATAAAACTTGCTCTGTAAACCAGGCTGGCCTTGAACTCACAGAGATCCGCCTGCCTCTGCCTCCCCAACCCAAGTGCTGGGATTAAAGGAGTGCGCCACCACTTCCCGGCTTTGATAATTTTTAAAGCATATTTAACATAATTTACACTTTAAACTGTTTTAAAGTAGAAAAAAGTAGAATTGAAATTAGATATAGATGACATTACAAACTGAACACAAACCTAAAATAAATCCCAAGTGGATACTTTATCTCACCTTTATTCAGAGCAAAAAGCTAATTTTTAAACACACACACATACACACACAGAGAAAAATGCGTGCACGCAATTCACACATACATACACACACGAGGGGGGGGTGCTATGGAATAGATATATTTAAGAAGTACAAGTAAATGTCATGGATGTGCTATGTAAATTTCACCTCAATAAGTTATTTTAAAATAAGAGTATATACAGTATTTATGGGTTTCCACCTTTATGTGGGCCATATTACATTACAGTGGTTAGATATGTAAGTTACATCTTACCTAATAATGTGGTTTCTCCAAAATCTCTTAGCTCATCCCAGACCCTTGTGTATATTCTTCTTTGCCAGTAGATGGAGACAACACCACTGAAAGTTTAAAAGACATCATTCCCTGTTTAAAGGGAGCTTGCTGGTCTGAAAAAAACTGGGGGGGAGCCCTAAGCCAAAGACTCCATTTTTAAAAAGCTACGTTAAAACCAGAAATCCAAGGAAATGTACCCAATATTAACTATGGATATCTTAAAAAATTTAGTAGAGGGGAATTAAATATGTCCTTCATAAAGTAAATAAATCATAATACTAAAAATGCAATCATTTCTACAGCTTCTAAAACTCAAACTTCCTGCCCACTGCTATTTAGATGGCTGGGTCACTTCACTCAGTTTCAGGAAGTGTGACTCATATGTGGAAAAGGTTTCAGAATTCTATAAAGGTAAGCATAATATATTGCATAGCTTTTCTAAGTATTACTTAATACATACAGTTATAAGCCTTTTATTCAAACAAAGACAATTATCCAGATCCACAGGAAAATAACTTTTAAAAAAAAAGGCAGAAATGGTAAAAGTAGTAAGAAAAATTTCTATATATACCCATACTGAAAGGAGCCAAATGGAATCTACTTCTCACATTTATTTCACTACTCAAAAAAAAAAAAAAACAAAAAAAAAAACAGAAACAAAAACACTACACACAAAACCCCCAGAAGCCATTTGTAAGAAATAAATTTCAAATCAGGAAATTTAAGAATTATCAAGTTTTACTTCTGAAATCCAAAGGCCTAAAACCAGTTTTCAAAGTCGTTCAAAATAAATAGCTCAAACCAAGCCACAAAGAACAACAAACCAGGCTACTACTGCACTCAAACAGAACACTAAGTTATTGCTATATTACGTATGTTGGCCGTTAAGACTCCCATCCCTTAACGGGGCTAAACATGAGCAACTGTCTGGTAGGGAATAGTTCATTCAGGAACAAAAACAAAAACGAAACAAAAACCACCTTAAACAAAGTAATAATCCAAAATAAAAAAAATTTAAGTATGTTTTCCTCTTGCCCTAATAATGTATCAGGAATAATATCAGATTACTTTAAAAGGAAATGAATATACTACTCAGATATTATAATACCCATCTAGATTAAATTAGACCAAAAATCACTAGTAAAATTAATCCTCACTACTCATGACTACACTACATAAAAGCGTTTGGCAAAGTAGCTCAAAACTACTTCTACTTAACTCTGAAATCTTTTTTTTTAAATATTTATTTATTAAGTATACAATATTCTGTCTGCGTGTATGTCTGCAGGCCAGAAGAAGGCACCAGATCTCATTACAGATGGTTGTGAGCCACCATGTGGTTGCTGGGAATTGAACTCAGGACCTTTGGAAGAGCAGGCAGTGCTCTTAACCTCTGAGCCATCTCTCCAGCCCCTTAACTCTGAAATCTTATGACTCCTGCAAGACAACAACTAAAATCTATCAAAAACCATAAGCATTCGCACGTGCCCATCAGCAGTACATACAAAACATACATACAAATGCCTACAACTTTATAAAACCCAAGGTGGCTTGGCTTCCTCTTGACACATTTGCCCTTTTCCAATCTTTCAGCAGCTGGTATGTATGTATATATCACACTAATGCAAATGCAAACACACAAAAGGACTTTGCAATTTTCCAAATATATTCATTGATTAATTAAGCCAATCCTGTGACAGGGAATTTTAACAAAAATATGGCCAACACAGAAAATCCACAGTAAAATCTTAACAGTATTTATATTTTGCACTGTAACCTGTCCATCAACAAAGATGAGAGAAATGCCGGTACCTAAATTCTTTATATATAAAAGTAGCAACTACAGGAGTCCTTGAATTCTGTGATTAATATAAATTAGGTACACTAAACTGTAATTTACAGATAACATTACTTTAGTAAGTAAAAATGACCAACAAGGAATGAAATTCTTTGTATTAATTGGATTTAGGGGGGAAATAAAGGCAAAACCCCCAGGTATTAACCTGGCAAGTTCTTCCTGGGGATCTGTATCAGTGTTCCTTGCCTCCACCTGCTGGCAAAGAGTATGAAACTAGTAGAGATCACAAGTTAGCAAAGTTAGAATTTTTTGGTTACAAATTAATGTTGTTCATATAACTCTCTAGCATTATGCTATTTTGTGTTAATCACTATTAAAATATAGATAAAAACTATTAATAATCTACAAAAAGAATGCTGAACATCATAAAAAAATTTTTCTTGGCTCAGAATGTTACCTAATAGTTTAAAAAGTCTTAATTACCTGATAAATGACATCTTGGAAAAGGACTGGAAAAGTAAGTGCTGCATCTTCTAGCTCATTCAGACTACAGTGCACTAGTGTTTCATCCTTAAAACAAACACAGAGTAAAACAAAACATTAAAAGAAACTTCAAAGGACAGTTATGTGGTCATGATCACCCTTCACAGGTGGAATTTATATGTCGCATAATGTGACACAGCATATTAGGACAGGGCTATTCCTATAGTTGGTTCTCAGGTCTAGATTTTAGAGCATAAACAGCACCATGATCCTTGGGAACTCTATTCCTTATGAGTTAGACTTAGTGGCTGTGATAAACTTCTCAGGCACCTCTGCAGCATATTCAAGTTTGAAAACCTTTGCTCTGAGCTCTGCAGCTCAACTTTTTGTTAAAGACCATTTGTTACTCTTTTTGTATTTTAACTTCCTTAAGAAAATAATCATTTAGTTTTTTGTGTTTTTTTAAAAAAGACTTATTTATTCTGTTTGCATGTATGCCTACAGGCCAGAAGAGGGCACCAGACCTCATTACTATGGTTGTGAGCCACCATGTGGTTGCTGGGAATTGAACTCAGGACCTTTGGAAGAGCAGGCAATGCCCTTAACCTCTGAGCCATCTCTCCAGCCCCATGTATACAGTGTTCTGACTGCATGTGTCCCTGCAAGCCAGAAGAGGGTACCAGATTCCATTATGAATGGTTATGGGCCACCATGTAGTTGCTGAGAATTGAACTCAGGACCTCTGAAATAGTCAGTGCTCTTAATTGTTGAGCCATCTCTCCAGCCCATCATTTAGGTTTTTTGTATTTATTTATTTATTTATTTATGTATTTATTTATTATGTATACAGTATTCTGTCTGTGTGTATGCCTGCAGGCCAGAAGAGGGCACCAGACCCCATTACAGATGGTTGTGAGCCATCATGTGGTTGCTGGGAATTGAACTCAGGACCTTTGGAAGAGCAGACAATGCTCTTAACCTCTGAGCCATCTCTCCAGACCCCATCATTTAGTTTTTAAAAGACAGTCTCACTATATAGTCTAGGCTATCTTCAAATTCATGATCTCCTCCTCTTGTATCACCTCTTGAGTGCTGACATTACAGAAGCATGTGCCATCACCATCTGTTTATACTAACTATATTTTATTGAATTAGCTCATGCAAGTCTAGAATCTAATTATTTGTATTTTCTCATATAAAACATCTTCAAACTTTTATAAGATTATTAATTTAGGATTAGATGTTATAGCATCTGAGTATATTTCATCTACCTTGATTAGACAGCTAATGAAAACTTATCTTAGGATATCAAATCCTGATTTCTTATTGAAAATAAGAAAAATAAGAGAGCTGCTCAAGAAAAATGTCTAAGTTAATACATGTCTTAAAACCTGAATGTTAAAAAGGACTGGGAATATAACTGACTTGGAAGAGTGTTTCTTACCATGCACCAAAGCCTCAGTTCGATTAGATCCCCAGGACTATATTATCATATAAGGGGCACATGCCTATTATCCTCAACACTTGGGAGATGGAAGCAGAAAATCAGGAATCCAAGCTCACCCTTGGCTATAAGTTCAAGGATAGCTTAGGCTATCTCAAAAATAAAATGTACTGCTAATAACCACCCTCAAATTTTTCAATGGGCTTAGTTAAGCTCAACTAAAATAGCCAGGCAGTGTTGGCACAAGCCTTAAATAAGTAAATAAATAAAAAACAAAAACCAAACAAAAGTAAAAGAACTGGCTTTACATCAAGATAAGTTTACTGAGAATTAAATAACACTTCTAATTATGGGATACCAGGAACAAGTTAAGCAATAAATTGCTTTCCAGCACATTAAATACATTTTTTTGATAAGAACATAAAACTGTAAGTAGGTGGTAAATGTTAATAAAAAAAAAATCACCCCCCCCCCAGAAATGGGTTGGTAAAAATGAGATATTCAATTTAAACTTTTTCTGATACCCAAAAGATATTAAGACACTCAGAAATGTAGATTTTTTTCCCAGATAGAAGTCTTGATAAACTTTATATATATAAAAAAGATTTATTTATTATGTATATAGTGTTCTGCCTGGATGTATGCCTGTAGGCCAGAGAGGGCACCAGATCTCATTATGGATAGTTGTAAGCCACCATGTGGTTTTTGGGATTTGAACTCAGAACCTCTAGAATAGCCAGTGCTCTTAACTGCTGTGCCATCTCTCCAGCCCAGACCTGCTACTCTTATGTCTCAGCCTCTTCCATAGTTCAGGCTACAAAGTACATAAAGTTATATTCTATACCAAGTATGCAAACTAGAAATTTTTAAATCACATTGAGAAAAAAAGGTTGATTGGTAATTAAATAAATCTATTTTATTGGTAATTAAATAAATCTATTTATTGGTAATTAAATAAACTACTTTATCGGTAATTAAATGAACTGAAAACAAAAACAGAATAGGGACACAGTTCAGCTGGAAATTTCAGCATGCAAAAATCCCTAACATCAAACACACCAGGCACAGTGGCACATCGCAGACCTCAGATCCCAGTACTTGGGAGGAGAAAGTTGAAGATTCAGAAGTTCAAAATCATCCTCAGCTACATGTGGAGTTTTAGGCCAGTCCAGGTCACATGAGAACTTTTCTTAAGGGGGGAAGGAGGTAGAAAAAAACACATTCTAATAGTTAACTTATTGAAGCCAAATTATATTTGGACCTTCAGGAAAAGAAAATTATAAAAATAAAAGGAAATCTAAATTCTAGACATCATTTTAATAGGATCAAACTGGAAATTGCAGGGGTTTTACGGCACTGGCAAGATACTCAGTGATTAGAAACCTTGCTAGTCTTGCAGAAGTTCTGGGTTCAGTTACAACTATCCACACCTCCAGTTCCAGGGGATCCAGAGCCCTCTTCTGGCCTCCTGTGGCACCAGACATTTACTGGTACAGAGATACATGCAGGGAAAATATTCATATACAAACATGATATGGGATGTCCTTCTGTATATGTGTTGCTTTTGTTGGTTAATGAAAGAAGCTGCTTTGGCCTATAGCAGGGCAGAATATAGCGAGGCTGGAAGAGATATAAAGAGAGGGTAGGCAGAGTCAGGGAGACGCTATGAAGCTGCCAAAGGAGATGGTCACTGGAACCTTGCCTGATAAGCCACAGCCTCATGGCGATACACAGAATAATAGAAATGGTTTATTTTAAGATATAAGAGCTAGTCAATAAGAAGTCTGAGCTAATAGGCCAAGTAGTGTTATATAGTTTCTATGTGATTATTCGGGTCTGGGCAGCCAGGAAACGGGAAATGAACGAGCAGTCTCTGCCTACAAACATACATAAGTCTTGTTTTAAAAGAGAGACAGAGCCAGGTGGATCTCTGAGTTTGAGGTCAGCCTGGTTTTCCAAGCGAGTGCCAGGACAGGCTACGAAGCTATACGAGAGCCGGAAGGTGGTGGCACATTCATTTAATTCCAGCACTCGGGAGGCAGAGGCAGGCAGATCTCTGTGAGTTCGAGACCAGCCTGATCTACAGAGCTAGTTCCAGGACAGGCTCCAAAACCACAGAGAAACCCTGTCTCGAAAAACCAAACAAACAAACAAACAACAACAACAAAAAAAACAGAGAGAGAGAATTCAGGCAGAGGATATGATACAGTGTATATCACCTGTCTTGCATATGTAAGACCCTGGATCAATCACCAACTTCTTAAAAAAATAAACATCAAATAAAATTAGAAACAAATCACAGGATCTCAAGAATGTGGAGGAAAAACTCATTTAAATACAAAAGTAAAAGTCTAATTGATTTTCAAAATATACCAGATTCCAACCAAACTAGTCTAATGCTAGGATCCGTAGAGTCCCTAGCATTTATTCACTTAAATAAAAGCATTTCAAACACTCAGAACATATTTACAGTAAGTATGGTGACTCCTTATTTACTTGTATTCTTTAGAGCACTTTAGACTGTTACTTTAAGAGAATTTAACCCTTATTCTTTGTACCTGTAAAGATAACACACTCACCAAATCTAAGACCAGGGAGAACTCTGGTGTGCTTCTCGTTTTCAAAGGAAGAGCAGGTTTCCTATTTAGTTGTTCTTCTGTCAGAGGCGGAACATGTTTGATGAAATAATAGCTATAAATCAAATTTTAAGAAAATTTCAACACTTCTATGTTCCATACATATCAAACACTACTGAATTTATACTAGCTTGGGATGTGCTCAGCTATACAGCATTTGCCTAGAAGGTTCAAGACCTTGGGTTCAATCCCTACAGTACAAAGTAAAACAAAAGCAGCCTGTGATGGCTGGTCTTTATTATCTACCCCAATGGATTATTACATAGGCACAAAAGGAATTGCTATGCTACTCAATTTTAAATAGTTGTAACTAGACTCAAACACATCTCAACTGATCCCAGTAAGAACAATCAATATGGCCGGGCGGTGGTGGTACACGCCTTTAATCCCAGCACTCAGGAGGCAGAGGCAGGTGGATCTTTGTGAATTCGAGACCAGCCTGGTCTGCAAGAGCTAGAGAAACCCTGTCTCCAAAAACCAAAATAAACAAACAAAAAAAAAAGAGAATAATCAATATGTTTTTGCCTACAAGAAATAAGTTTGGTTTTTATTCTGTCTCATCTCTTGTAGACCAAAGAAATAGGTGTTTATTCCTCTAGAGCAGCAGCTCTCAACCTGCAGGACGTCACCCCTGTGGGGTCGAATGACCCTTTCACAGGGGTCACATATCAGATATTTACTTTAGAATTCATAACAGTAGCAAAACTAGTCATGAAATTGCAACCTATTAATTTTATGGCTGGGGGTCACCACAACATGAGGAACTGGACTGAAAGGTAGCAACGCTAAGAAGGTTGAGAACCACTGCTCTAGAAAAATCCAGACTTCGGGACTCTAAATTCCTGGACATTATTTTCTGCATGCTGATGGTTGTGGAAATGTTTTCCCTGAAAAAAAGTTACTTTGAGCTAGGTGGTCGTGGTGGTGTATGCCTTTAATCCCAGCACTCAAGAGGCAGAGTCAGGTGAGTTTACAGCCAGCCTGGTCTACAGAGTAAGTTCCATGACAGCCAGGGCTACATAGTGAAACCATGTCATGAAAAACCAAAAACTAAAAAGCATTTAATATACCTAGACTATCAAACACAATACTAAGAAAATATAAAGCCTAAATGAAGAATGCAGAGCATCAGCTGTCTGCCCTCGTGAGTACATGGGAATGAACAGGAAAATGGAATTCTCTCCCCAACATCATGAGAGAGTATCCTGTTAGGTACTCCTTACTTGGGAAGAAGTTGAAACTCAACATTCAAAGTAAATTTTCTACTGGACAAACATTTTTCAATTTCATCATGAAGCTGAAAATTGTTCAAGATAGAAAATTTGATAACCAGAAAACAACTCACGGGTCAAAAACTTCCCAGTCTTCCTCATAGGTGGCCTCTGCATGGGCTGACGAGTAACCACTCTCTGGAGTTACTGGTGCTATTTAGGAAGACAAAGAGGGAAGATTACTTTCACTTCTCTGAAGCTTCCCACAAAGTACACATTTTTACTGTTTCTATACGAGAGCTTCTTGAGGTTCTGTGTATTTTAGGTTAAAGATAAAATAATTCATAAAGATCACTTAAAAACAATTCAGTAACACATTCAACTCTACACCCAAAGGAAATTAATGCTATCGATGACATGGCAAACTACAACATGGGTAGAATTTAAATGTCTATCAGCTAAGAGGAGATCTATTATTAGAAAGTAATACTCAGCAACAACAACAACAAAAAAAAAGAGCAAAAAATCTTGTGCTAATTAGTATTTTGTCAATTCAACAAAAGCTAGAGTCCTTTTAGAAGGTAAAACCTCTATTAAGAAAAGGCCTCCGGAGCTATAGTTATATCTCAGTGGTTAAGAGCAGTGGCTGCTCTTCCAGAGGACCCAGGTTTAATTCCCAGTACCCACGTTGGCAACGAACATTGTAACTCCAGTTCCAGGGAATCTGACACCCTCACATAGACATACAAGCAGATAAAACACCAATGTACATAAAACTAAGAAGAGAGAGAGAGAGAGAGAGAGAGAGAGAGAGAGAGAGAGAAGGAAGGAAGGAAGCCTACATCAGATTGGCCTGCAGGCAAGTCTGTGGATATTTTCTTGACAATTGGTGTAGGAATGTCTAGCCCACCCCTAAGAAGGTTTATATAAAAAACAAGTTGAATAAGCCATGAGGAGCAAGCCAATAAGCAAAGTTCCTCTATGATCTCTGCTTCAGGTCCTGTCACGAGTTCCCAATAAGCTATGAAATAAAATAAACCCTTTCTTAAATTGCTTTGTTTGTTTGCTTTGTTTTTCAAGATAGGGTTCTCTGTGTTGCTTTGGCTGTCCTGGAACTCACTCTATAGACCAGGCTGGCCTCCAACTCAGAGAGATCTGCTTGCCTCTGCCTCCTGAGTACTGAGATTAAAGGTGTATGCCACCACCGCCTGGCTTGTTTTTGTTCATGACATTTATCACAGCAATAAAAAGCAAACCAGAACAATTCATTTCCAATTGGACAGTATATACATGCAGTAGTACTAAGACAGCAAGCCATGTACATACAGGTGTTCAATCAATACCTGCTGACAAGCCAAATATAGTTGTAAAATCTAAAACCCACTAACATTCTAAGTAATCCACTAATCCCCAGACATTCAGAACAGAGATACAGCTTGAGCACTATGTTAAGTAACCTGAGTCAGTTGCAAAGAGGAGCACATGAGTTCACCATGTGGCGGTTAGGAGAGGAGAGGATGATCAACCGGCACTAAGTATCTCAGTTTCAAAAAGAAGTTCTCATGCGCTATTGTACATGAGATATAATAATGTATTAAACATTTTAAAAAGCTAGGGGGAAAAACACTGTTTATCATGAAGAAATGTTATGTATGAAGAGATAAACAGATTTAGCCTAACTTAAATACTATAAATTATACATGTAAACTAAAATATTACATAGCAGATACCTCCCCCTTCCCATGTTTTTGTATTGTCCTATTTTGTTTTGTGACATTGTCTCGCTATGTAGACTAGATTAGCTTTGAATTCACTATGTAGCCCAGGCTAGCCTCAAATTACCAATTCTCCTGTTTCGGCTTCCTAAGTGCTGGGATCACAAGAATGCTCCACCACCCCTAGCTTTTATTTCTCACTCTCTTTTTTAGATTTATCTATATAACTGTCTTGTCTACATGTATGTCTGTGCACCATGGGGCCTTGAGAGGTCAGAAGAGGGTGTTGGTTATCCTAGAACTGGAAATACAAATGGTTGAAAGCCTGAACCTAGTGTCCTCAACAAGGGAAACAAGTGTTCTGTAGTAATATGAGCGGCGGGCATCCCCGGCACCCAGCCGCCTGCACGGCTAGCTTTTACCCGAAATAATTACACGGAAACTGTATTCTTTTAAACACTGCCTGGCCCATTAGTTCCAGCCTCTTACATATTGATCTAACCCATTTCTTATAATCTGTGTAGCCCACGAGGTGGCTTACCAGGGAGGATCTTAACCTGCATCTGTGTCCGGCAGGAGAATCATGGCGACTGCCTGACTCGGCTTCTTTCTCCCAGCATTCTGTTCTGCTACTCCGCCTACCTAATTTTCTGTCCTATTAAAGGGCCAGGGCAGTTTTTTTATTACTTAACCAATGAAACAACAGATAGAAAGATGACCATCCTCCATCAGTGTTCCTAACCAACAACTACTAAGTCATCTCTTCCGCCCCCACAGCTCTTACTGTATAAGACAAGGCCTCACTACGTAACTCAAGTTGGCCTCAAACTCATGAGATCCTTCAAGTATTGGCAATATGTTTAATTTTTCTGTTATGACCAAAATCATAAAGGCAGAGAGAAAAAAAGAATAAGACAACAAAACAGGAAGAAAAAAAAAACCCTTGAAGAAAAGAAACCCTAAAGAAAGAACATATGTCCAAAAATTTCAAAGTTACCTGTGACTGTAAAAATTTAAGAAAAGAGCTGGGTAGTGATGATGACGCATACCTTTAATCCCAGCACTCGGGAGGCAGAGGCAGGCGGATCTCCTTGAGTTTGAGGCCAGCCTGGTCTACAAAGCAAGTTCTAAGATACACTCCAATGCTACAAAGAAACCCTGTCTCAAAAAAACCCACCCCAAAATAACAAACAAAACAAAAGTTAAGAAAAGGTTGAGGGCTGAGGAGACAGCACAGCAGTAAATAACACTATGTGTATTTAAAAATGACCTGGAGTCAGTCCCCAGCTCCCACGTGGTGTCTTATAATTTACAATTCACTGTAACTCCAGTTCTGGGGACTTGATGCTTGCCCACTGCTGGCCTCTACAGGAACCAGTAATACATAGAACACAGACATACATGCAGGCAAAAACACAAAACTAAAGGAATTAAAAATAAAAATAAACAAATAAAAATGGTTTAAGAAGGCCCGGCAATGGGGGTGCACGCCTTTAACCCCAGCACTCGGAGGTAGAGGCAGGTGGGTCTCTGTGAGTTTGAGGCCAGCCAGCCTGGTCTACATAGTGAGTTTCGGAACGGGCTCCAAAGCTACAGAGAACCCTGTCTCGAGAAACCAGAAGAAAAAAAAATCCAGAAGCAATTTTATTTTGTATTCCATGGTTCATTCTATTGGAGCCAAGGACATGTCAAGTGACAGCATCAGAAACAACTTTCTAAAATGGCTAGAGAGGGCAGTGAAGCTCACAAGGTAAACAAGTAATATCTGAGATAAAAGAGAGAATTCAATATAATTATTAAATTCCAGCACTGTGGGTGTGTGCCACCAAGCCCAGCTATTTATCTACTTTTAGTTCCTTATTTCTGAGAAGAGGAATGTAACGGCTTGATTAACTGTTTGAAATTGTCTGAAGCTTAAATAAGTAGTCCAAAGTTATAAAGCCAAGGAAATGATAGCGCAAGCTAGATGTATTCCTGACATCTTTGGCTATATTCTCAAAGTTAAAACAAGCAGCACTTTATCATTACTATTGATTTTATTTATTGACCGTTTTTCCCCACTTTATTCTTCAAAATAGGGTTTCACTGTGTAGCTCTGGCTGGCCTTGCACTCACAGAGATCCACCTGCCTCTGCCTCCCGTGTGTGGCACAACTGCCTAGCCTATTTATTTTAATTTTGAAATAAGGTCTCTCTGTAGCCCTGGTTGTCCTGGAACTCACTAAGCAGATCAGGCTGGCCTTGATCTCAAAACAGAGACCCACCTACCTCTGCCTCCTTTAAAAGATAAATAAAAGTCACTTCTGTCTATCTTTTCATAGCATTCCAGAATAACAGCGATGTGCATTTGCTATTACGCTATCATAATTTTTCTCTATATTTGGTTCTTTAATTCAACTGTAAAAAGTTCAGAGGCAGCCGGCCAGTGGAGGAACACACCTTTAATCCCAGGAGGCAGAAGCAAGTGCATCTCTGAGTTTAAGGCCAGCCTGATCTAATGAGACCCAAAAATAAACAAATAAAAAATGGCAGAACAAGCCGGGCGGTGGTGGCGCACGCCTTTAATCCCAGCACTCGGGAGGCAGAGGCAGGCAGATCTCTGTGAGTTCGAGGTCAGCCTGGTCTACAAGAGCTAGTTCCAGGACAGGAACCAAAAACTATTGAGAAACCCGTCTCTAAAATAAAAAAAAAAAAAAAATTAAAAAAAAAAAGGCAGAACATAATTTCATCTTGTACTTTTAAAAAAAAATTTACTTATTAAGTATACAGTATTCTGCCTGCATGTAACCCTGCAGACCAGAAGAGGGCACCAAATCTCACTGCAGATAGTTGTGAGCCACCATGTGATTGCTGGGAATTGAACTCAGGACCTTTGGAAGAGCAGGCAAAGCTCTTAACCACTGAGCCAACTCTCCAGCCCCTCATCTTGTATTTTTTATAAACATGTATCGCAGTAAGTAATAAATTCAGATATCACGTGTTCCATATTTCAATGGCCAACTAGCACAGGAATGTAACAATGATAGAACTTTGTAAAGATCTAAGATTAAGCTGCAAAGTCTGGCATAGGGGAAGATATATTCTGGGCAAGGTAGCCTCCATTTATGAATCAAACAAATCTAAAGGTATGAGATTGCCTTTCTCTACACTGGGACTTTAGTCTTAAGGACCTAAGGCTATTATGTATAATGACAGAATTTGGGGACAAAATTTGTTCAGCCTTTTTAACTTCAAGGAATAAAAACTTAACCATTCAATCTAGTCATTTAAGAAAAAATATTAAATTCTGTGTTTTTGTAACTATTCATAAGATGTGTCAAAGGGGTTATTTTATTCACCAGTAAGAGGTGGGATATCGCGGGTAACTGTTTCTTCTGCTTCTTCTAAACCATTATTTATCGACGGCCTCACTTGAACTGCTTGACTTGAGTAAGCTGCTCCATTAGCTGACGTTGTGCTGGTAGTGATCTCATCCACCTGTTCCATGTCAAGTTGCTTTACTATCTCCTCAGCTTCCACAGCCTGTCCCGGGGAATCCGAGCCTGACGTTCCTGAAATTGTCCATAAATAACCTCTAAATCACTTCAAAGCACAAATATTAGAAAAGCTAAATACAATCAACTCTACAATTTATTTAAATGATAACCCATAAAAAAGCAAAACCGAGGGTACCACTGTTTGAAATAGCTATAAAAATCCCAATAAACAATGGGGAATAAAGATTACTACAGGCACCTGCCCTTGTTTTTTAGTACTAGGTACTGAACCTAGGAGTTCATCACACACTAGCCAAGCCCAGCCCTCTGCCACTGAGCTATAGCCCTAGACTTCTTTCACTCTCTGAGGCAAGGTATCATTGAGTACTCCAGTAAGAGCTTGAACATTCAATCCTCCTGCCTCGGCCTCCACAGCAGTTTTGGATTATAGGTCTGTGTCACCAGGAATGGCTACACTAATATTTATGAACTAAGTTTTCCTTAACTTCTCAAATAGTTCAGAAACACCTCATAAGTCAAATAACAACTACAATTTAGAACTTTCCATTAAAGTACTGCGTCTGAGGCATTTGATAAACATTCATCACCCCCAAACAGCTCTCCATCTTTCCAGTTCAAATACACTAAACATTCTAGCCACAGAGGACAACTAAATTCTCAAGTTATCCAAGAAGGGGCTAAATGTTGCCCTAACCATGATTAATCTTTTTATTAAAAGACTCAAGATTAAATTTTTTTTTTTTTTAATTTTTCGTGACAGGGTTTCTCTGTAGCTTTGGATCCTGTCCTGGAACTAGCTCTTATAGATCAAGTGGCCTTGAACTCACAGAGATCCGCCTGCCTCTGTCTCCCAAGTGCTGGGACAAAAGGTGTATGCCACCACCGCTCAGCTAAAAAATGATTTTTACTTACCATTTTTATTTGCTGGTGAAAAAAAGTTGAAGACAGGAGAAAATATGGTCCCCAGCAATGTAGTCCTTGGTGGGCTACCTGCAGAAGGGTTATCTTCTAATTTCCCATTTTGTTTTATATGTTGATTTGTCATTTCATAACTACCAGCTTCTAAGAAAGAAACAGAGAAGAAAATAATGTCTAGAAACACTGCATTTCAGGTTATGTGCTATAAATAATTTTTAATGTATTTACATTAAAATGTATTTCATGTAGACTAACATTAATGTTCATAAGTGCTTATTAAAGAACTCCTGAGGCAAATTCCTTAAAAATCAAACTCTTTTATCAATTTACAATGCTCTGTTGACACTCACTTGTTTAGGTGGAAGCTCCACTTTGTCCCCACCCCTCTCTTTTCTGACCCCACCTTCAGAAAGGCCATCAAGCAGAGGTTCCTCTCTGAGATACTCGAGACCAAGCTTACAGGGTATTTAAGAGGGGAAGGAGTTTGAGTGTGTGTGAGAGTGTGTGAGTGAATGTGTGTGTGTCTCAGACCTGCCATGTGATTTCTGCTTTCGTCCCCAAGAATCACCCAGGGATGGTTTGCTTATTAAACCTGGACTTTTAACTTGGCCTGATCTGATTTATTGCATCAGGAGAGAAACCCAATATTGGGGTACAGAAACCTTTCATCACTGAGTTTTTTCAAAGGTGATTTGCATCTAAAATGAAATAAACTGAAAGGTTTCCGATCAGCAGAAAATGAAGAAAATCCTTGTAAGCAAGCAAACAAGTTACCAATTCTAACACTCAGACACAAGATTCCTGCTGTTTATATTTTGGGACATTAGCTATTTCAGAAAACTTTTTTTGACATCTACTTCTAGTAAATGACTGCTAATGAATATAGTTAGATCCACAAACAAGTGTTTTATATAATTTCAACTAAAGTGTCATAATGTTGATGCATATCCCTTTTCTTGGTGTTGGAAACTGAACAAGCTATCCAAGCACCCTACTACTGTGGTAATTCCTCTTAGCTCCAATTCATAAATATTGTAGAGTAAGTAATATAAATTTGGTATTCTGCCTGTACTCATTTTAATCCAAAGAAAAAAATTGTAGAAAAATAATTTTTAATTTTACTTGATGCTTTAAACTAATTCTCGGTACAAAAATAGATTATAAAAACAACGCAAGGGGCTGGAGAGATGACTCAGCAGTTAAGAAAACTGACTGCCCCTACAGTTCTTGAGTTCAATTCCCAGCAACCACATGGTGGTGGCTCACAACCATCTATAGTGGGATCTGATGCCCTCTTACGGAATAAAGGTGTACATGCAGAAAGAGCACTCACACATATAAATAAATCTTTTCTTTCTCTTTTTTTTAAAAGGCAAAAATTGTACTAAATGTTTTATTGTTGCTTTTTGAGTTAGTATTTTGATTTGTTGCCTAGCCTGGCCTTGATGTCTCAATCCTCTTGCCTTTTGAGTTCTATGGTTATAGGCAAAGGCCACTATGCCTAGCTTCAAAGCAGGTTTTCAAAACAAAGGGTCATGGCAGATGTGGAGGGACTTTTGCTTACAGCTAAAGGAAAGATAGCATCAAATCATCAACAAACCTCCATTGACTGGACTTTTCCGTCTTACTCGAGACAACTGCTTGTTAGGCTTTTCTCCAGCTCTTGGTGTTGATGAAATCAAATTATTATCTATATCACGTTCAATTCTACTCCGTTTCGAAGGATTTTCTCTCTCTTCCTTAAGATACAACAGAAAAAAATTTACTGAGCATAATTATTCTGCCTTTCAATTTAAATGATATATATAAGACACAATATATTTTTCTCATGCTTTTCAAATCATGAAGAAACAAAATGCAATTAACAATGAAGATAGACCAGCAATGTTAAAGTGTTAATGTAGTTATACTTCACAATTATAAGTACAGCAACCCCAGAACAAGTTTTCTAAGGCTCCTAAATTTTCTATGCTCCTGAAACATTGAATTTTACAATATGCTCTGGATTACTGACCAGCTTTATTATTTATCTCATTAATCTAAGACTCTTCACAGAACACACAGTAACAGTAATTCAGACCTGGTGAACAAACAGACCTATAAACACCATTACTTGAGAGGCTACGGCAGGACAGTCAATTCAAGGTCAGCCCAAGATATTTGGTAAGACCTCAACTTAAGAAAAACCACAGCTGGGCAATGGTAGTGCAAACTTTTAATCCCAGCACTAGGGAGGTGGAGTGATATGGCTAGGTGGAGAGAGGTATATAAGGTATGAGGAGACAAGAGCTCCTTGCAGCCTGCAGTCGTTTTGAGGACAGGATTGCCCCTTTGCTTGTCTGAGCCTTGGCAGAGGTAAGAACTCTCTAGTGGCTGGCTGCTTTGCTTTTCTGATCTTCAGCTTGAACCCCAATATCTGTTTCTGGGTTTTTATTATTCGTGCTACACAAATCTGTCTCAACAAGACAAACAAAGGGTTGGGGCTGTTGCTCAGTGCTTATTTAGCATGAATAAGGCCCTGGCTTTGTTCTCCAGCAGCCAAAGCAGGTGCTGTGACGCCTGTTTATCTCAGCACGTTGCCAGCAGTTTGGAGGTAGACGCAGGAGGATTGGAGTTCGGGGTCATCCTCTGATACATAAAGCGGCATGAAACTTAGAGAAAGGAAAAAGAAGAAAAGATTACCTACTTATTATTTATTATGGTCCTGGGCCAGTTAAGATGCCTTAATAGGCAAAGGTTCCTGCTGTCCACCCGAGTTGGAACCTTACGACTCTCATGGTTGTGAGGTCCTGACCTTCACACATGTGTTTTGGCATATACACAACCATACATATACGTGTACATAATAAATAAAAAGTAATTAAAGTATTTATTATGGTACTATCAGTTATTTCATTCTAAGGATTACAATATTACTATCCATGTCAGGTGTGGTGGTGCACATCTTTAATATCTGCACTCGGGACACAGATGGATCTCTTTGTGTTCAAGGCTAGCCTAATCTACACAGAGTTCTAGGATAGCTAAGGCTACAGGAAAACCCTGAATTGAAAAACAAACCAACCAACCAACCAACCAACCAACCAAACAATCTTACTATCCAAACCCTAATTTGAAACATTTCTTCAAGTTTCTTCTTAGTTTTAGTAGAGAATAGTAGAAATGCTGAATGCTAGGCATATATAATGTAGTAGACAGAGCAGAAAACATATAAATGCAACATGCATGGAGAAGTGCTTTTAGTTTTGGAAAGCATCGTGCATGATACATGCTTTTAATCCCAGCACTCAGGAGACAGAGGCAGGCAGATCTCTGGGAGTTTCTGGGCAGCCTGATTTATATAGAGTTCCAGGTAGTCCTGGACTTTTGGTGAAACTCTGATCCAAAACAAAAATGATCTAATAATGTTTTTCAGATCAAGGGACATAAATCCAACAGTGAATCATGAAATTAATTTATAGTTTTATGATCATCTTTAAAAGAAATGACAGAACGAAGCTGGGCGGTGGTGGCGCACGCCTTTAATCTAGCACTCAAAAGGCAGAGGCAGGCGGATCTCTGTGAGTTTGAGGACAGACTGGTCTACAAGAGCTAGTTCCAGGACTGCTAGGATTGTTACACAGAGAAACCCTGTCTCTAAAATCCAAAAGAGTTCCAGGACAGCCAGGGCTGTTACACAGAGAAACCCTGCTTCTGCTTGGGGAGTGGGGGAAGGGAGGGAGTCTTCAAAAAAAAAAATTAAATTAAAAAGAATTTGTTAGCTATAACCATATTTATCACTATGAATAAGCCAAGAAACTGATTGTTATCTTTCAAAAATACTTGCCAAGAAACACACAATAAAGTCATTAACAGCCATAACAAAATCTACATTATAAATAATAAGTTTCTGAGACTGATTTTCCACTTTGAATCATCTAGTCTGAAAACGATTTTGAGACCAAGCACTTGACATCGACCCTAATTTCCCTGACACTTAGAAGAGAAACTGACTTCCTTAAGTTGCTTATGAGAAACCCATAATATCAATGTAGAACACATCTAAGTCATTTTTTCTTTTAATAATTTTGTTTCTGCTGCAGTTTTTAATAATTTTGTTCTTGCTATACCCACTGTTCATCTTCACTATGCTAAATCTGTTTTCTTTAATAATTCAAAAGAATGAAGAAAATCCTCTTTTGCTTTCCACAATACTATGCTGAAAAACAGAAGGCTAGTGGTACAGTGGCACAGTTATAATCCCAACACTCGGGAAGTTAAAGCAAGATGACTGCCAGAAAGTTTCAAGTTAGCCTGGGCTACCTAGCAAATACCTCTCAAAAATACAAAGCAACCATGACAGAAAGCTGTCATTAGTTCTGTGGAATGTTTGTTTTGAACTTTCATTCATTTCACATGCAATATAAAACCAAAATGTGTATAACCCTTAAAATGAGCTCTATCAATATCAACTTCTATATGCCTAGAGAAAATAACCTAAGCATGATTTTTTTTTTTTATGTAGGTGTGAGGCTAAAGTATTACCTTGGGCGTGCTTCCTTTAATGAATTTTTTAATTGAGGACAATAAGCCAGTTTCATTCTTTGATGGTTTTTCTCCTCCCGAAGGTAAGCTATCATCAACCTCTGAGTATTTCCTTTTTGCTCTGGCAGTGCGCTGTGTTTGGATTGGACTGGATTGCTGAGAAGCCTTCCGTGTTCTCAGCTTCATCTTTTAGGGGTGCCACATGTAAACCTGTAGGAAAAAAAAAAATAACACAAATTACCCAATATGCCCAGTTAACTTACACAATAAAAATCTACTTCTTTAAAACAGCCCAGGTTTCTAAGAGGAAGTGAAAGGCACTGTATTTTATATGTAATCTACCAAGTAAACTCAACAACATGTTGATATTGCATCCTATAAGAGAAAGTAGAGTAATACCAAAGGGAGTACACAATCTAACACTGTGCTTACCCTTACCTATGCCAAAATTATGTTAAGTCATCATTTACTCTACAAATATTTATTAAGCAGTTAAACACACTTGAGATCCCAAGCTAGGTAAGCACTGAGACAACAGTAAACAATGTAGGGAAGGGTTTTGTCCTTTTGACCTTAAGATATATTAGGGGTAAAACCTGTCATTTGAAGAATGAATTTCATAAATATTATATTTATGAAACCAATAGCAATGTAAGAGTTGAAAGAGAGGCTGGATCACTTTGATAAGAGTTCAGTCTTGGGCTGGAGAGATGGCTCAGTGGTTAAGAGCACTGACTGCTCTTCCAGAGGTCCTGAGTTCAATTCCCAGCAACCACATGGTGGCTCACAACCATCTGTAATGAGATCTGGCACCCTCTTCTGATATGTGGGCATACATGGAGGCAGAATGTTGTATACTTAATAAATAAATCTTTAAAAAAAAAAAAAGAGTCAGTCTTATCACACATAATAAAACTAGATTTATGGGCGGATGTGTGAATTAATGCTACAACATGAGAGGTCCCAGGTTCTGCTTCCAGCTACACATATACAAATATACATAATTAAAAAGAAATTTTGGAGAGATGGCTCAGCAGTTAAGAGCACTTGTTGCTCTTCCAGAGAACCCAGGTTTGATTTTCTCACCTACAATGGAGGCTCACAACAATCTGGTCCGGTTCCAGGGGACCTGACACCCTCTTTAGGACTCTCCAAGTACCAGCACCTTCATGGTACTCAGATACACATGTAGGTAGGCAAAACACAAATTCAAAAAAAATTTTTAGAAAGAAAGAAAAAGGAAAAATATTGTTAAATGAACATACTTGTAAGACAACCCATAAAATAAATACACACACACACACACACACACAAAAAAAAAAATCCCAAATCCCAAATCTGGTGTTGGGGAGATTTGGGAGATGGCTTGGAGATAAAAAACGCTTGCCTCTTCAAAGCCTGCTTAAAACATCTTTAATCTCAGTACTCAGTAGGCAGAGGCAGGCAGTTCTGTAAGAGCAGGAGGCTAGCTTGGGCTACATGAGAGCCTGTCTCAAAAAAGAATAAATTAGACATCAAAATTAAAAATTTTAATTGTGTACCAAGGACGCTAATATACAAAGTCAAAACGTAACCCAAGAGCCAGTGAGCTGGCTCAATGGGTAAACACAGTTTGAATTTAATCCTCAGGACCCACATGGTGGGATATTAGAGGCCCATAAACTGTCCTCCAACCTTGCATATCATGGCATGCATATGAATTGTGTGTATATATATATATATATATATGAAGAAAATATGTACAAATCATTCATCTTAAGGAATTGGTATCCAGACTACATAAAGGAACCCCATCAGAGACTAGAAATTGACTAGATTCAAAAAGAAACACCAGCAACAGACAAGGAACCAAGAACTGAGGCCAGCCTAGAGAGTCACCCAGCTTTAAGGGTCTTAAGAGGAAAATGCAATCCAGGGCCAAGTAAAGCACTGTTTTCTTTCTTTACTTTCAATCTGGCCAGGCTGATCCTTTCCTTGAACTAAATCAGAAGACAATATGAAGGGGGGGGGGGGCAGACTTACTAAAACTGTAATCCAAGAAAGGACTATAACCAATTCTGCTTAAAGTTCTGCTGTAACAGAATTCTGCCTCAATTACAGAAAGCTGATAATTAAGTTGCCGCAGCCCAACACCAACAACAGTTGAAAATTTGAGTTTATCACAAAAGAGATTTTTCTTGTAACCATAGTACTAAGGACTTGCAGTAACTAAGAAATCTCAATCCAAGAAAATGCCAGGTGCTGGTGGTAGTGGTACACACAGTTGATCCCAGTACTTAGGGAGGCAGAGGCAGGCTGACCTTCACGAGATCAAGGACAGTCAGTCTGTCTACAGAGCAAGTTCCAGGACAGTCGGGGCTATTAGAGAAACCCTGTCACGAAAAAACCCAACATGTGTGTGTGTGTGTGATTTTTAAACTTTTCTTTAGATTTACTGGAGTTATGGATGGTTGTGAGCCACCACATGGAATCATACCCAGGACCTTTCCAAGAGCAACAAATGCTCTTGACTACTGAGCTATCTCTGTCCTTAAAACTGTTAGCAGACTGAATGCACGTGGGCTAGCATGAGGACACAGTATATATCTGTGGTGCTGGAGCAACCTCTAGTGTAGGAAATAGAGTCCAAACCAGATTCTCTCTCCTAAGGTACAAAACTGTGAAGGCTCTGGAGCCACAAGTCCAGCTGACCCCAAAGACACAAGAGAAGCTGTCACTAAGGATAAGAAAAGGATGGAAGATGTTCACAACCGCCACTAGGATAGCATGCACCAGGTAAAATGAAGGCAAAGAATTAAATAAACAAAAGCCCAGAGCTGATCAGGAAAACTGAGATGCTTTCTCATATTTCAGCTAGGATTCTGAGTAACGTAACAAGGGAACTTAATTAAGCCAATGATGCACAAAGGAACCCTCTGCAACAAAACTGAAACTCAACTCTTGACTAGGCTAACACAAATGCCTTCAATTACAAGTCCATAAATCCAATTTTCCAAATACACTCTACCAGCAGTTACTTTCTATTCATAATATTCAGTAAAATATTCCCAAAGCTAGAAAGGTGGCAAGTTGAGTAGAAGCACTTGCTACACAAACCTAGCAACCTGAGTTCAAACCCCAGAGCCCACATAAAGGTGAAAGGAGAGTTGCCCTCTGGCCTCTACATGCCCTGTGGCATGCTCCCCTAACACACACACACACACACACACACACACTCACACACTCACACACACACCAGCAACAAATGCAACAACGTATCCACAAACAAACAAACAAACAAACCGGAAAAAATAAGGCTGGGGATGGAGTTTCGGTTCAGGGGCAGAACACTGACTTAGCATGCATAAGGTCCTAGGTTGTCTCTAGAATTATAGAATAGAGGGGAGGGAGAGTAAATACAACCAGAAGTTGACTTTTTAAGAACAGACCAGTAAATTGATAAACTTATAGCAAGAATAAAAAAAGAGGATACCACTATTGGGAATGAAAACTTGAAAATAACAGACTGTAGACTCAGAAAGAATTATGGAGCATTCCAAACATCTTTACATTCACCAATTCAGGTAGAATGGACAAATTCCTCAAAATGTGAGTCACAAGCAGGGAAATGGTCATGCTTAGTTTTAATAAATCTAGTACTAGTGAACGAAAATGATAAAAATGAGAATAGTTAAGTCCAAAAACTTGAGACATAAAAATCACTTTTGGGAGTGGGGTGGTTTAAGACAGAGTTTCTCTGTGTAGCTTTAGAGCTTGTCCTGGAACTCACTCTGTAGACCAGGCCGGGCTCAACTCACAGAGATCTGCCTGCCTCTGCCTCCTGGGTTAAAGGTTGTGCATAAAGGCGTGCACCACCACCGTCCAGCAGCACTCTTTTTTAAAACATTCCAACCAGATCTCACTCAGGATTTTTTTTTAAATTTATTTAACTTTATTATATATGTTTTTGGTGTGAAGGTGTCAGAGCTCCTGGAACTGGAGTTACAGACAGTTTTGAGTACATGTGGGTGCTGGGAATTGAATCCAAGTCCTCAGGAAGAACAGCTAGTGCTCTAAACTGCTGAACCATCTCTCTAGCCCCTCATTCAGGATTATGACAACTAAAAACTGACCAGTAAGTTTGTTCTGTAGTTACTTGATGCCCAGGTAAGCAGATTACAGAGGAGGGGTGTTGGTGCTGGAGAAAGTCTTCCAAAGAGTCACCATAAACAACAACATTAATTCTACAAGTTTTCTAAACTACCATCTTAAATTCCAGACTCACACCTAACTACCACGTTTGGCACTTCAAACTCAACTTACACAAAACTGAATTCATTCTTATCCCATTCCATCCCAAAATATCTCCCTCCTGTTGTATATTTTTCTCCTATAGTCACCCATATAGCCTACCAATCAAGAAATCCAAACTCTACCACCCAGCTAGTTGTGACACCCTGCCCTTACCCCTACAGTCAATTACCAAATTCTAATTTTTAACCTCTAAAATTAATTTTCCAGTCTTTCCCTTCAAAAAAATCTATCCTCAGAACTACAGAAATGTGCCTATTCCTCTTACCTAGTTTCTCATCAACTGCTTTCCAATATAAACTAAATTCACTGGTAAATATGTACTGCAGTGTGTGTGTGTCTGTCTGTCTGTCTGTCTGTCTGTGTGTCTGTGTTGTCTGTGTGTGTGTGTGTCTGTGTCTGTGTGTATGGTGCAAATACAAAGAGGTGTTCATGTGTGTTGATGTTCCTGTGTGGAAGACAGAAGTAGACATCAGATGCCTTCCTCAGTCTTTCTTACAGAACTTGGAGCACACAATCAGCACCAGAAATCCACCTGTCTTACTTCCCCAAAGAAGCTTTCCAGCCAGTCTTTCTTTGTTGTTTTTTGCTGTTATTCTCTGTACTGCAGTAGTTATAGCTGCTGACACTCTGGGCTCTCTACCCACATTTCTGTCCTCTTTACCACAAATATTATTTCAACTAATTATCTCGTTATCCTCACTGTTTAAAACTCAGCCCAAGTATCACAGAACCAATAAAAGAACCACCCCATACCCATAAACTTCTGTAAAGCCTGAGGTCATCTCTCCTACCAAATTACCCTAAAATAATCTCCTTCAATAGATTCAATTGCACTTGACAAAAGTGAGTCCCGATGGCCAGGACAGGAGATGTACGAACCCTTGGCTAAGCATGCAGAGGCACTGCAATAATTAAAA